TATTCTTTTACCGACTTTCCCAATAAAAGCATTAGGCTTGTACCGTAGTTTTGTATTATTAATTATAAGTACGATACATTTCTATTTGGTGTGTTGTACATAATTAATTGTATAATTTAGATACTTCACTACGATAAAATCCAATACAAGTTCTGGCCACTATTTAATTAACAATTTTTTTCGGTCACAAAATTTAATTAAACCACATGACCAAGAGCGAAATATCCGACAAACATCTTAAGGTTGATAGGAGATGTATGCTGTTTTCAAATCAAAATAAATTCAATAATTCGTATTACATTTTAGTTATAGTTATTACGATTAACAACAATTAAAAAGAGGTAAAAGACACTGTGAAAATTATCGTATACTTGCAGAAAAAATATAAAAACAAATCTGTATACATATATGGATACATTACAACATGTTATTTAATTACATCTATGTAATTTAATTCTATTAATTTTTTCTGTTATTCACTGTATCGAAAAATCTCCAAGCAGATAGAAGTAAATTAAATATCTGAAAAAAATAAAATTATTTTATGTTAACAAAAACCTGTGTTTATTATACTTTCACGAAAAAGATATACTCTAGGGGTACAATATTTTTACTCCCTATATGCCCGGGTGCTTGTAAATTACACCAAAAGATATGGAAAATTTTTCGGTTCCTGGAGTTCCAACAAGTCCAAGGACATTCGAATGTGGCTTGAGCAACGCATTCAGACTGGAAAATTAAATGTTGAGGTATACAATATTTTTTATATTTCTTACCGCATCTAGCACTTTTTGACCACCAGAAAAAACAACAAAAATACTCAAAGATGCTGCTAAAATTGTTGTGATTATTAATGAATAATAATCACTTGTGTCATACATTGCCTAAAATATAACAATATAATTGTTGAGGCACCAGTGTTGGCAAGTTTTACCGTATATAGGGCGTAGAAGCTAAATATTATTCCGATTAAAAAGAGCATGCCCAAATAAAAAGAAATAATCACTAGAATAAAAATCGTTGAATTGAATTTCTTGGTACAACTAGAAAAAAAAATGAATATGATATCTAAAAAGAATAATTTTACTACGCTTTCACAGAAGAATGACGAATAATAAAACTTCTCAAAATTGTAAACACGTCATCTTGATAATCAGAATTCTCAACCAGATAATTTTCTTCCAAACCTTTAATTTTCGCCTTCAACTCTTTTAAATTTGAAGCTAAAACTTTCAAATGAATTTCCTGAAATTTCATCAGATGTGCATAGACGATTATAAGTATAGCTGTACTGTACGTAAGAAAGCTAACAGTAGATACGTAAAAATTACGTAAAATGAACGAAAGTGTTTTATTCGTGATGGAGAAAGCAAGAAGCGAATATTCGTAGTAGCGTTCAGGAAATTCGAGTGCTTTAAATGTGTGACACATTCCGGAAGCGAAAACAAGTAATAACTGGACTAAATCAGTCCATAGCAATATACGCAGTTCGTAGATAAATTCTTCTTTTTTTAAACTTCCCATTTTTTGCAATTCTTCATAAATCGAGTGAAGCTTTGGGGTTATTGCTAATATAATAGCAATTTCTGTTACAATCTGCAAAAAATTGTTTAGTGTTGAGGAACACCATTGGATTTTGATTTACCTTGTTTACGATGCAAATATTTGAAAAACATCTAATCAGTAACTGGCTGTCAAATGTTGCTAACAAATTTATTGCGAATATTAACTGCAAAGTTCCATGAAGGGCTAAAGTTATGCAGCCATAGATCTTATATACTTTGCTTTTCAAGATAGTAAATGTTATCAGATACCATCCTTCTATAGGGTTGTCTAAAATACACCAAACTGTTAATGTAAAAAGAATTCTGGTGATTTTACCGATGAAGTATCTCTTCAAATTCTTCATTCTGACTGCATTAAGACGCATTACTGAAACAAGATGTTGAAATTATATATTACGACTAAACCAAAAAGTTGCTGTGTTGTAGTTTTTGTACGGTGTAGCAGTTACTGAATACTGGTAGCCACACTAAACGAAAATTAATAAACGTTTAATAATTCAGCATAGTGTTTACTTTCCCCTCCACGACTAACATCACTTTATCGTTATAAACTATTATAGTTGGTGGTAGCGGTTTCATTATTAATTACGTAACTACAATGTACCTTATTTCTAGTTTTAAGATACAGCAACTTTGTTTCATCTGTTGAAACACTCGACAACTCAGCAGCGAAATCTTCGGTAGGCAACTTTAATAGTGACAATTTTTATAAGTTATTTCGCAGTTAAAATTGATGAGCTCATCTCATATAACCTATCTAAGATATGCAAAATATTTCGAGTCTCATGGGACTTATGGTTTATCAATGCATTCATATATTTGGAACTGCTTATACTGAATATCTCAAAATAAATAATAATCAATAGGCCAGTTTACTTTATCGTTGTAATTAAGAACTTGCTAAATTTTTTATGGAGTAATAACAAAAACTCGTTTGAAACAAACATGCTTTTTTACGTTTACTTTAACTATACACACATAGTTTGATTTTAGCTTTCAGAGATGATTATAATAAAGAAAATAAAATTCGCAAAATTTTCAGAGGGAAGTTCCGATATAACTTCAATCCGTTTAGAATTTGTTTTATTCAAATCATCGATTTCTTTCAAAGTTTTTCCGCTTATAAAAGTTTGCCAGTGTGAGTTTTCATTCAAGTTGGAAACCAAAGATAACATCTCAAATTTAGAATTGGTAAAATGCTTGAATATACAATGTCGCGACAGTCCCAGAAAAGTCTCGAAGCGGCCCTCGAAAAGCCTGGAAGCAGAAGTCGCGAATACCCAATTCGAGAAAGAGCTCGATCGCCGAAATATATATATTTAAATATATAATAGCACATATCCTTGTGACTCCCTTGCTTAGAATATTCAATCTTATTCTCAAAAATTGTCGGGTACCAGAACTTCGGAAAAATCCTGCATTTCTCCCATATTTAAGTCTGGGGATAAAGCTGATGTAAAGAACTATAGGTTCATAAGTTTATTATGTAATTTTGTGAAGACATTTGAATCAGTAATCTATAAGCTAATTTATTCAGCTGTGGACCTTTTCGTCCTGTTCGTCCTTTTCGTCCTTTTGGTCCTTTTGGTCCTTTTCGTCCTTTTCGTCGTTTTCGTACTTTTCGTCCTTTTCGTCTTATTGGTTCTTTTCGTCCTTTTCGTCTTTTCTATCGTTTTTATCCTTTTTATCCTCTTTATCCTTTTTATCCTCTTTATCCTTTTTATCCTCTTTATCCTTGTTATCTTTTTCATCCTTTTCATCCTTTTCATCCTTTTTATCCTTTTTATCCTTTCTATCCTTTTTATCCTTTTTATCCTTTTTATCCTTTTTATCCTTTTTATCCTTTTTATCCTTTTTATCCTTTTTTCCCTTTTTTCCCTTTTTTTCCTTTTTATCCTTTTTATCCTTTTTATCCTTTTTATCCTTTTTATCCTTTTTATCCTTTTTATCCTTTTTATCCTTTTTATCCTTTTTATCCTTTTTATCCTTTTTATCCTCTTTATCCTCTTTATCCTTTTTATCCTATTTATCCTTTTTATCTTTTTTATCCTTTTTACCCTTTTTATCTACTCTGGTTCTTCGCTTAATCCATATTACGCACTCAGCTCATGGTATAAATAGAGTGGCTGAGGAAATTAGAAATATATTTCCAATAGTAAATAAAGTTTGTTAAATCACCTTTCAGAGTACAATTTTACTGGAGTCCATTGTCCAATTTACCATTACCTCTACAACCTATTGTAACTAGGGGGGGGGGGGGTGTTGATCCGTTTATCGTAAAAAAAATCCTTTTGAAATGAAACGGTTTAACTGTCATAAAAATTTAAACACTGTAAATTAGAGAGTAATAAATTTATTTTCAAGATATACAAACACAGAACTTTTTATTGTGAAAAGAGAATACTTTATTTTTCTATATTTTACTTATTTCTTCTATTATTCACGGTGTCGAAAAATCTCCAAACAGAAAAAAGTAAGTTAAAAATCTGAAAAAAAATTACTTTTATGTGATCAACAAGTCGTATGTAGCATACTTTCGCGAAAAAATTGTACTCCAAGGGCACTATATTTCCGCTTCCAATGTGCATGGGTTTTTGTAAATTACACAAAAATATCTGAAACGCTTTTCGGTTGCTTGTGTTCCAGCAATTCCATGGACAATCTAGTGTAGCTTGAAAAACGTACATGGACTGAAAAGTAAAATGTTGAATTATGCGATAATGGTTGAGTTTTTTACCGCATCTAGTACTTTCTGACCACCAGAAAAAGCCATAAAAATAGTCATAGCTGCGCCTAAAAGTGTTGTGATTATTACTGAATAATCACTTGTGTCATACATTGCCTAAAATATAACAATTTAGTTCAGGGTATTAGTGTAGGCAAGTTTTACCATATCTATAGCGAAGAAGGTGAATATTATTCCAATTACGAAAAGCATGCCCAAATAAAAAGAAATAATCACTGGAATAAAAATCGTAGAGGTGAATTTCTGGATACAGCTAGAAATAAAATAGATGAATGTTGTCTAAAGTAGAAAATTAATTTTATTACGTTTTCAAGGAGGAATGACGAATAATAAAACTTTTCAAAATTTTGGACACCTCATCTTGATAGTCAGAATTCTCAATTAGGAAATTTTCTTCCAAACCATTTATTGTCGATTTCAGTTCTTTTAAATTTGACGCTAAAACTTTCAAATGGATCTCCTGAAATTTCATCAGATGCACATAGATGAGAACAAGTACAACTGCACTGTATGTGAGAAAACTGAATGTAAATATATAGAAATTACTTAAAACTACCGAAACTGTTTCATTCGGGATGGAAAATGCAAGAAGCGAATATTCGTAATAGCGTTCAGGAGATTCTAGAACTTTGACTGTGTGACACATTCCGCATACAAAATTCACAACTAAGTGGGCTAAATCACTGTTCGGGCCAATCGAGAAGCCCGCCGTGCAACCAGCGACGGAAGGGAGGGGGACACAACCACCCTCTTCCACTTCAATTTGTAAATAGTTTTTAGTTCTGTACGAGTTAGGCTAGGTAAATAAACGATAAAAGTACAGACGGGTTTTGTAGTTGCTCTGAACCACATCAGTCCAGAGTGTCACCCATTGTGACCTACAAGTAACCAGGGCCATCCATTGTGGCTTACAAGTTGGTCACCCATTGTGACCTGGTCCTTCGAACCGACGACGCGATTCACCAGGTTGAATTGCATCACAAGAATAAACCATCATTTTTTGGGCCTACAACCGCCACACCAACATTTTTTGGTCCTACGAGTCGGATCGTAATCCAGCGCCAGAAGTAGCAGATCAGCCAGCCGAATTAAGGTCATCCCGTGGAGAAGAGAACGAGCAAGAGTTCGGTGGTGCCAAGGGTAAAGGTAGGCCTTTTTTATTTATCAGTTTGGTTTGTGGTTTCTCATACGCAGCATTCATTAATTAGTTAAAATGACTCAGGAAGAGTTAAAGGCGTTAATTAACAAAAGGGGTATGGTAAAGGCGACATTGACCAGAATGAAACATTTTGTTGACAATTTTCAACCGGGTAATAATGTCTACCAGCTGAAAACGCGTTTACCGCATATTCAAAAGGCGTTCACAGAGTTCGATGACATTCAAAGGCAAATAGAACTTTTAGACAATAGGGTCGATCAGTCTAAGGAACGCGAGGAATTTGAAAATAAGTATTACGATTTAGAATCAGCAGTGCTAGAAATTATTGATACAGATGTACAAAATTCGGCAAATGAACGTAACACGAGTAGTCCCAGTTCAAGTAAACAGAAAGGTTCAGAGGTAAGATTAAATCCGGTACGGTTGCCCACATTGGATTTACCTGTATTTTCGGGGTCGTATTTAGATTGGCAAGCATTTTCGGACACATTCAAGTCGTTGATTCACGATAATGAGTTATATACAAATATCGAAAAATTTCATTATTTAAGGTCATGTTTAAAAGGAGGTGCCTATAAAACATTAGAGTCGGTAAAGATTTCGTCAGACAATTATCCTATCGCTTGGAAAACGTTAGAAAAAAGATACGCGAATACACGTTTAATTGTGCAAGAGCATGTGCTGGCTATAATAAATTCGCCCAATTTAATAAAAAATTCGGCAACGGCAATGCGCAAATTACTAGACGATATAACAGTTAATACCGAAGCTTTAAAAAATTTACAAATAGAAGTTGATAAGTGGGATGCTTTAATTGTACCGTTAATTACTTTGAAATTTGATTTTATTACGAAACGCGATTGGGAATCCACATTGGACACAGAAGTAGCGACTTTAACAGAATTAATTTGTTTTTTGAGCAAGAAAGCGGCTCTATTAGAATCCTTAAATGTAGGAGAAAATTATTCAGTTAATAATAATAAATTTCAACATTCGGGTAAATTTAAGCATAATTTACAAGTTTCAAAACAACCACGACCATCCACTTCATGTAATACCACAGTCACAAACGATAAGGTTTCAATTCAATGTTTTTTGTGTAAAGGAGCTCATACATTATACCGTTGTAATGAATTTCTTAGTATGTCAGTAGCCGATCGAACGAGTACCATCAAGAAATTAAAATTGTGTTTAAATTGTTTTAAACGAAATCATTCAACGGAGCAGTGTAAAAGCGGTACGTGTAGGCAATGTCAGGAAAAACACAATTCATTGTTACATAGAGAAGGTGACAATCAACAAAATAATTCGAGCACAGATTCAGGTCAAACAATTGTTTCCCATGCAAGACATAACGCAGAAAATTCTACACAAGTGTTGCTGTCAACGGTACAAATATTCATTAGAGACTGTTCAAATAATTGGGTCATGTGTAGAGCGTTACTAGATTCGGGATCCCAATCAAACTTTATAACACAGCTATTATGCAATAAATTAGGTTTGTCATCAGCTCAACTTCATGGAGAAATAATAGGTATCAATGGTTCAAGGTTTGATGCACAAAGGCTTACAAAAATTCACATTAAATCAAGATATGACAACCATGATTTCAAGATAAGTTGTTTTGTTTTAAGCAATATTACACAAAGTTTGCCGTCAATATCATTTGAAAAGAACGACTTGCAGTTACCCTCTAATTTAAAACTTGCGGACAATGAATTTAACATCCGGTCACCGGTTGATATTTTATTAGGGGCAGAGATTTTCTGGAAGGCTATTCGAATGGGGCAGATTAAGTTAGGTAAAAATTCTTTGCATTTACAAGAAAGTTGCTTTGGATGGATAGTGGGTGGTACAATTAGCACAGGTAGTTTCATGCAAAATGGTCTGTGCAATCTGTCTTTAAGTAACCTAGATAAACAAGTTAGGGCTTTCTGGGAAACAGAACAATGGCCAGGGGAAGAAGGTTCTCAGAATAATTATCCATCGCAGGAAGATAAGGATTGTGAAAACCACTTTCTAAATACCCATAAACGTGATCCTTCCTCGGGTCGGTTTATTGTACGCCTACCTTTTAAGTGTAATCCGGTTACAATGGGTAGGTCCGACGAAATTGCTAGAAAACGGTTTACAACCCTTGAAAATAAGTTGAAACGCAATGAATCACTCAGAATTCCTTACAAGCAGTTTATGGACGAATACTCTGAATTGAACCACATGGAACTTATACCGGGATCCGATAGTACCGAAACGTCTGTATATCTGCCACATCATGCAGTTGTTAAGGAATCGAGCACGACGACAAAATTACGGGTAGTATTCGATGCAAGCGCAAAAACCTCTAAAAGCACGAGTTTGAATGATTTTTTATCGATAGGTCCTAAACTTCAGGATGATCTTTGCGCCATCATTCTTAGATTCCGTTCACATCAATACGTTATCACGGGTGATATAAACAAAATGTACCGGCAAATTTTGGTCGCAGCGGATGATCGTAAATATCAGCGGATATTTTGGAGAGACGATTGCACAAAACCTCTGGACACCTATCAGTTAAATACGGTAACTTATGGTACTGCATGTGCTCCATTTTTAGCAGTCCGGTGTTTGAAAGAACTCGCAGATGAAAATAAGGTCGCTTATCCTCACATTTATCCTGTTATCATACACGACATGTACATGGACGATGTTTTGACAGGAGGCAATACAATAGCAGATGTATTAAAATTGCGCGAGGACCTAATAAAAGTACTAAGTCAGGGTCAATTTGAGTTGAGAAAATGGGCAGCAAATAATTTGTCACTGTTGACATGCGAAAGGAATCTGCCAGATACGAGCGAGTTTGACAATGGGGTAATTAATTTCGATAAAAACGGGGAATCAAAAACGTTAGGATTATACTGGAATTGTCAGGAGGATTATTTAAAATACGAAATTAACGCAGATAATAAGGCAAGGGAATCTTTTACAAAGCGTAAAATTTTGTCTACGGTGTCTAAAATATTTGATCCATTAAATCTGTTAGGTCCAGTCATTGTTAAGGCTAAATTGATTATACAAAGATTATGGGAAATGAAACTTGGTTGGGATGAAAGAATACCCGCCGAATTAGTAAAAATATGGTTACAATTGTTAGATGAATTTACAATTTTGAACAATATCCGAATACCTCGAAAGGTGATTAGTCACTATCCGTACAGCCGTATTGAAATGCATGGGTTTTGTGATGCTTCGCAAAGAGCATATGGTGCATGTGTCTACATACGCACACACAGTGCAAATGGTTCCGTCTCATCCAATTTATTGTGCAGTAAATCGCGTGTAGCACCACTTAAAACAATTACCATTCCCAGATTAGAGTTATGTGCAGCCCTATTGTTAGCTAAGTTAGTAAATAGCGTCATTCAAAATTTAAGAACAAGGGTGGACGAGATATTTTATTGGACGGATTCGATGATTGTATTAGCATGGTTGGCAACTTCACCATCCGTATTAAACACCTATGTAGCTAATAGGGTCAGCCAAATTCAAACCTTAACTACCGTTGAAAAATGGCACCACGTAATCTCAAACGAAAATCCCGCGGACATAATTTCACGAGGGGCGCTTCCCAGTGAACTAATCAATAATCAAAAATGGTTTAACGGGCCCGTCTGGCTCAGCAAAAGAGAGGAAATTTGTCCAGATAAAATCGTCCAACCCACAGAAATATTGGAAGTAAAAAGATCTTGTTTAGTGGGTGTTAGTCATTCTGAATTCAACTTTCTAGAGAGATTTTCTTCATTTTTCAAACTGCAACGCGTCATCGCCAATTGTTTTCGATTCATTCACAATTGTCGAAATAAGGGTAACAAGGTAGAAAATGAATTTTCAAGGAACGAATACGCTAGGGCCACAACTGCTATAATATCAATGCTACAAAAATTAGAATTTTCAAACGAATTAATCAAACTTGGAAATAATTTGTCCGTTAGCAAATCTAGTAAATTAAGAACACTTAATCCCTTCTTAGATAAGGACGGCATTATAAGAGTAGGGGGACGTTTGCGTAACGCCAGTATAGGTTACGAACAAAAACATCCCATTGTGTTGCCCAAGCATCACGTGACAAAATTAATAATTCAAGAAGAACACGTGGCCAATTTACATGCTGGGCCCACAGCAACACTGACAGCAATTCGCCTAAAATTTTGGCCCTTAGCAGGTAGAGCCCAAGTAAGGCAGGTAATTCACAATTGTTATAATTGCTTTCGTGTAAAACCAGTGAGCGTAAATCCAATCATGGGCGACTTACCAGCGTCACGAATGGTAAAGGAACGACCGTTCAAAAATACTGGACTAGATTATGCCGGTCCGCTATTCATAAGAGACGGAAAAACGCGAAATAGACGTACAGTAAAGGTATATATTGCACTTTTTGTATGCTTTTCCACTAAGGCAATTCATTTAGAGCTGGTCGGTGATATGACCACGGAGAGCTTTTTGAACGCGTTAAAAAGATTTATGGCGCGTCGAGGACTGGTAGACAACATTTACTCTGATAACGGTAGTAATTTTGTAGGTGCAATGAAAGAGTTAAAGGAATTGTTTAAGGCAGATAAGTTCAAAGAAATTTTAACTGAGGTCAGCAGAAAAAACATAAATTGGCATTTTATACCAGTCAGAGCACCTCACTTTGGAGGTATTTGGGAATCAGGGGTTAAATCAGTTAAATTTCATCTTAAAAGAGTTATAGGCAATGCAATGCTGACATATGAGGAGCTGTATACCCTGCTGGTAGGTATAGAGGCTTGTCTAAACTCGCGGCCGTTATGTCCATTGACGGAAGATCCGAACGATGACGAAGTCCTGACGCCAGGACATTTTTTAATTGGCAGTTCATTAACAGCTATACCGGAACCTGATATGAGCGACTGGAAGACGGGACGCTTATCCCGATGGCAACATGTTGAGCAAATTCGTCAGCACTTTTGGCGTCGATGGTCCCGGGAATATTTGGGTCATTTACAACCTAGGGCGAAGTGGCATCGAACTACCTCCCAAATACAGCCGGGGATGTTGGTCCTCCTGAGGGATCCCAGTCCACCCCTAAATTGGCGACGAGGACGAGTGGTAGAACTCCATCCAGGCCCTGATGGATGCACCAGGGTCGTATCAGTACGTGTCGGGGACCGCATAATGAAGAGAGCCGTCAGGACGTTGGGGGTACTACCGGTGGATTGAACAAGCCGTTCAATGCGGGCCGGGATGTTCGGGCCAATCGAGAAGCCCGCCGTGCAACCAGCGACGGAAGGGAGGGGGACACAACCACCCTCTTCCACTTCAATTTGTAAATAGTTTTTAGTTCTGTACGAGTTAGGCTAGGTAAATAAACGATAAAAGTACAGACGGGTTTTGTAGTTGCTCTGAACCACATCAGTCCAGAGTGTCACCCATTGTGACCTACAAGTAACCAGGGCCATCCATTGTGGCTTACAAGTTGGTCACCCATTGTGACCTGGTCCTTCGAACCGACGACGCGATTCACCAGGTTGAATTGCATCACAAGAATAAACCATCATTTTTTGGGCCTACAACCGCCACACCAACAATCACTCCATAGCAAGATTCGCAGTTCTAGAATAAATTCTTCTTTTTTTAAACGACCGATTTTTTGTAATTCTTGATAAACCGAGTGAAGCTTTTCAGTTGTTACTAATATAATAGCAATTTCTACTACAGTCTGTAAAATATTGCTTATAATAGAGGTACATCGAGGCGTATCAATCTACCTTACATACGATACAAACATTTGTAAAACATCGAATCAGCAACTTACTGTCAAATGTTAACAACAAATTTATCACAAATATTGACTGTAAAGTTCCATGTAGGGCTAAAACTGTGCATCCAAAAATTATAAACACTTTGCTTCTTAATACTGTAAATGTTATCAAATACCATCCTTCTATAGGGTCGTCTAAAATATACCAAGTTGTTACTGAAAAAAGAATTTTGTTGTTCTAACCGAAGATGAATCTCTTCAAATTCTTTATTCCGGCTGCATAATTAAAATAAAGCGTTATGAACCTAGCAAGAATAAAAATATATTTTGTTTGTTTATTGTTAGACATTTTATTCTTATACAAATTTTGTTGTAACCTTCTAGAGTTTAATTTAAATAATAATAAAAAATATTTATGTTGTGATAAACCATTCTCCCGAATGTTTTTCTGAATTACAAAGATACATTACTATAGAACGAATATTGTTGTTCTTACCCTTCAAATTCATCACTACCATTAAAATAAAATGTTCGAACGATTGGAATTATGCACTAACTGCGTCTAAACCAAAGATTTGTTGTGTTCTTGCCACGACAGCAACTGGTATATTGTCGGGTCAAATACTGGCACGCAAACTAAATGGGTATAAACCATTTAATAATTTATTAGTGGACCTAATAACTTTTTTACTTTAAAAAAATTGTTTTCCGACTTCGGTGAACTATGGAATTGCTGTTATTATTAGCAGTGAAACTTTCGGTAGGCTTTTTCATAGTTAATTGTCAGTAGTTGAAACCATCAAAACTATTAAATGTGTTATTGATAGAAACGACAAAAATAAAGAAGTTATAAATAAATCTACAATTGGTAGACTAAAAAACTAACCGAAGGTTTCAACAATCTTGTGTCTGTCTGTCTTTAGTTTGCGTTTAAGTTAGTATCGATAAAATATTGTTACGAAATAAGCCCATACGCCGCCCCGGTACGACGCCTATGCGTCTTCTAGTATGTAGGTATGCGTTGCTTCTCGTATGTAGTATGACTCATCGGCCGCGCGGATACAAGCAGATGTCGCGAATACCCAATTCGAGAAAGAGCTGGATCGCCGAAATATGGATTTAAATAGAGCCCAGCTAGTGGAATCAGTCAAGAGCGTCCAGTGAAATTCGCCGGAATAATTTCTGTACATATTGTTGAGTTTTACCTGCGCCCGATTTCAATCACCCGTACAACGTAACAATATTTAGTGTGTAACGTACATTATAACGGATGCACAATAAAAATCACTCAGAGTACCTATGCTTGGGATTTCGGTTGACACATCCCTTTGGCACGAAGATAAGCTTATATTTTGGTTGTATATTTATGTATAAATAATACTGTACATACTACAAAATTTACTAAAAGGATTAATGATTTTTTTGATACCCTGAACAGGAAACACCCTGGGGTGTTATACCATCACTCTGTTTATCATAAAACACAACTTTTGTAGATTCCAAAACAAAATTTAGAGTATCTGACTTTCAAAAATAGGATTTTATTACGTGTTAATTAATAAAATGAATCAAGATCCCTTAGAGGTAAGCTCGACTATGGTTTAACGGAAATAATCTGTTGGATGATAGATTTAAGTTTCTTTTCTAAGGACTTCTTAAGCTATTTTCAAGCAGAATTGGCTGTTTGCGCTTCTCCTGTTAGTCGATTTTTTCTCTTGTAGATAGTTCATTTGATTATGTTCAAAAATGTAACACAGAATTTTTTTTTTCCTTTATATATATTACGGTATTTATAATGTTTAATTTTATAAAATTTCAGCAATTTTTTGGAATAATACATCTGAAAAATTTGTTTTCATTAAAGCTTTGATTATGATTTTCGATCCCAAATTTTATTTCAGAATAAAGATAGATCACACACAAAACAATTTTGTTGAAGAGCATTGATAATTTTATTTTAATAATATATGTAAACACACGAAAAATGTTTTTTTTATTTTGCTTTAATTTCATTTTTTCTGTCACTCATTTGAATATCGAAAAATCTACAAGCAGACAGCAGAAAATTAAAAACCTGAAAGAAAAGAATTGATCTCTGTTAACAAAAGCACTCATGCGATATACTTTTACGGTGAACGCATGTTCAAGGGGCACTATTTCTCCACTGCCAATACGCATAGGCTGTTGTAAATGACACAGGAAAATCTGAAACAACTTTCGATTTCTGACATTCCAGGAAGTCCAAGGACAATCGAAGGCAGTTTGAAAAACAAACTCCGACTGAAAAGTAAAATGTTCATTTATACAAAACTTTTTTTGTTTATTACCGCATCTAAAACCTTCTGGCCACCACCAATAACCATATATAGACTCAAAGTTGCTGCTAAAATTGTTGTGACTATTACTGAATAATCACTAGCGTCGTACAACACCTAAAAGACAACGACATTGTTCGAATGCATCTGTGTAAGTAAGTGTTACCATATTTAGCGAGAAGAAACAAAAGAGTATCCCAATCAAATAAATCATGCCCAAATAAAAAGAAATAATCCATGGAATAAAAATCGTAGAATTGAAATTTTTCGCGCAGCTGAAACAGAAAGGAGAATGAATATGTTATCTCAAGAGAATTAAATCTCTTACGCTCTCAACAAAGAATGACGAATAATATAGTCTCTTAAAATTTGGAACACTTCATTTTGGTAATCAGAGTTTTCAGTCAGAGAATTTTCGTCCAAACCATCGATTTTCGACTTCAACTCTTTGAAATTCGAAGCTAGAACTCGTAATTGGATCTCTGTAAATTTCATCAGATGTGCATAGATCAGAATAAGTATTGCTGCACTGTATGCGAGAAAACTAATAGTGGATATGTAGAAATTGCTTAAAATTGAAGACAAAATTTTGTTTTGGATGGAGAATGCCAGTAGCGAATATTCGTAGTAGCGTTCTGGAAATTGTAGTCCTTTAAACGTATGACAAATTCCGGCAGCCAAAGCAAGCACCAAGTGAACTATATCAGCCCATAGCAGCATTCGTAGTTCGAAGTTATATTCTTCTTCGTTGAAACAGCCGATTTTTCGCAATTCTTCATAAATTGAATGAAGCTTTTCGGTGAGTATTAATATAATACCAATTTCCGTTACAGTCTGTGAAATATTTCCAATTATTATTTATTCACATGCTTGCATTTTGACTTACCTTATTTACGATGCAAATATTTGAAATACATCTAATCAGCAAGTTGCTGTCAAAAGTCGACAGCAAATTAATCACGAATATTAGTTGTAAAGTTCCGTGCAGAGTTAACGTAATACATCCAAATATTTTATATACTTTGCTTCTTAATATTGTAAAAGTTATGAAATACCAACCTTCTAGAGGTTTGTCTGAAATATACCACTGTCACTGTAAAAAGCATATTTCTGTTCTTACCAAAGATTAGTTTTTTCAGATTCCTCATTCCAGATACACAATAAAAATACATTGCTACAAGAACGAAAAACATGTTAAAATATAAAAGAAATACACACCAAAATTTATTCTGTCCATTCGTTGACAATTTTGTCTTGATGAAAATTTAATTTGGATTCATGTTTTTAACAAAACTTTAGCAAACTTGTGAAAGAGGTTTCATTAATGTGTTTCATTTGGTCGGCCTAACACGAAGTACTTATGGCTCCCTACTTAAATAAATTTTCTAACTTTGAAACAAAAACTGAATGAATTCTCAGAAAGACATTAACAGTGTAATGTCTCACGGAACACTGGTATCTCTAAACTAAACCAATATTAGAAGACCATTATATCATTTAGTAGATCCTGTAACTTGTTCCGTGTAAGTATCTTGTTATTATCGTTTTCCGATTTTTCCAATAAAAGCAATAAAGCTATCAGTGTAGTTTTGTATTATTTATTGTCTGTTCTAAATTTTTTCAGTAACAAAATTTCTTTAGGTCCCACAATCAATAATAATCCAATTAAAACGTCTTAGGAATGATAATTGGTGTATTATGTAGTTATTTAAATTAAAATAGGTTCACATTTCATATTTTCGAAGTCTAAACAAAATCTGCTTGAAAAGGCAAGGTATAATGATAAGTTTTTTTCAAATTTAGTGATTTGGATCGCATTTGAAGCACGTTCAATAGTCCAAATATTCGCAAGAACTTCAAATACCTTTGGTTCTACATTTTTCACTAAACATCAGTAAAAGGAATAATAAACATACTTGATGAATAATACATTTAAAGCTAGCGTAATTTTTGGAAAGTGGAATTGTAAAATAAAGCTCATCTACAACAAATCAAGTCAAACCAAATCGTAACCATGAGGCAGTTTCACTCCCGTCTTGTCTAAGAGAAGTTTTCCAACTAATATCAAAATTTCTATTAATCCAATGAATGATTTATGTTTCAAAAAAGCCCGAAATGCTCGAGACGCCAAACGTAGAGAATTGCAGGTACAAGCTGATAAAAGGAAAGTTAGTTCAGTAGCACTAACAGAAGAAGAATTAATGAAAATCAAGTATTTGTATTTAGAAGAAAATTCCGATGGATTGCAAAAAAAAATCGTTTTTTTACCCTGTTATGAATTAGCATGGCGAGGTAGAGAGACAACCA